AAGGCTGAGATAAGGAATGGTGTCCCAGGGAGATAAGATGGGGAGAAATAGACGGAGGTAGAGGGCTGTGGCCTGAAGCAGTCAACACTCAACAGAGATAAGATGAAAAGCGGCGCACGTGTAAAGTGAAGCTGGATAAGAGGAGGATGGATGAAGAGGTTAGAGTGATGGAGGGAGGAGAATTGAATAGAAAGTGGTAAAAACATGAAACAACACCAGGACTGCAAGAAAGTATCCCAAGGAAAAACAGAACCTGAATACTGGAGAGAAAATAAAGAGTGTTATGATATAATGAACAAGTTTTGCCACCTTGAAACTGACTCCAAACTTTGTTAGGCTTGTTCACAACAACTATGTAGATATGTCCAAAGATTAATCTTGCAATGGTTTACTGAAAGTGCTCTGAAAGACAAAACAGAGACATGAATTGTTTATGAGAACATTAAACAGAAAGATAGTGGGGGATTCGTAGTTCTAACTGTGTTTCTGTTCCTCCAGGACACATCCACTGTTCAGCGCCAAACTATAAAGGTACCTTCCACTGCACCTGGAAAAGAACAGAATCCAGACGCAACGCTGCTGTACTCCTGGTGAAGGCAGAACGGTGAGGACAAGAACAACTACTGGTTAATCAGGAGTACATCAATTCAGTGTTAGGTCAAGGATTGTACCGTGTTTTATAAATAACCACATTGTCTTTTTATGCAGCCATTTGGAGACGTTACCATGTAACCTAGACTCTGACGGATCAGGGGTTCACTGTCACAACACCACCTGCCCGTTCAAAGAGGAACAACACCGCATTTCCCTCACCGTTTACATACGCAGCTACTTTCGCTTAGAGGTCTACGAGAAGGTTTTCTTCCTGAGAGACATTGGTAAGTCACCTGTCTCAAAACGTTTGGGGTTGTGTGATGGAAAAACTCAGACCAAAGGAAGAATCCACTGAATTTAGGTTCGGATCCAGATCAGGCATTGGATCCAGGATTGATTTTTTGCTTTTTCGATATTTTTTACCATTGCAAGATGGAGAGTTTCTCAGAAAATAATTAATTGATCTCTATGGAAATTAGGCGTATGTACTGATATTTATGAGAGTGTGAAATTTGGTGCAAATCCAAATAAAAAATTGGATCTTATGATTGAAATGTAGCTTCATCAGGGGCTCTACAGAGTGTGTTACATGAAATTTTGGAGTGGATCCTGATAAACCAGATCCAGACAATTTTCACTTTCTTTAACATAGAGAGGTATGTTAGCCTTGGTAGAGGCATGTGCTCTCTGAGTGCCCTTCTAGTTAGATGCGGCAATATTTGTCTCTATCCTCACTCATCCCCTTCTGTCTTGCCTTGTCTGTGGTATGCAATCCAAACAACTCCTGCTCATTGTTTCCATCCTCACCACATTCAGTGAGACCAGCAAAACTCTCTAATCTGCGCATCAGTGATGGGAAGGTGTTCAGCTGGAACTACCCTGACACTTGGGAGACGCCATGCACCTACTTTGGCCTGCAGTTCCAGGTCAAGGTGGTCAATAACGAACATTCCTGTAAATCTGAAGAGGCCATAATGGTAATCAATACATGCATAATGCAGAACAGATTCCATTAACCCTTAGCTATTGTAAAAAAGGATTTGCTGACCTCCAGTTTAACCACATTTCTTTGCCGCCTACTCTCGTCTGCAGGAGAGCATCACTGAGGACAATGAATATAAAGTCAATGTCAAATCCAAGAGATTCATTTTCTGTGTGCGAGCTCAGGACAAGTACACCAACGGGCCGTGGAGCCTCTGGAGTCAATGCATGTAAGTATTTTACTTGGGTCACTTTATTATTTATCCAAATATTCATCTGATTAATTCATGTCCTGTCTCCAGAGTGAACAAACACCATGTGACCTGCTAGTTTTTTCACTGGACTGCTGCCACAACAAAGGAAGAGAATGAAGATAGAAGAAAACATTTCTTCATTTTTTTTAGAGCAAACAACAGAAACAGGTTTTCTGCTTCAGGAGTGAATGTATACCTGTATAGTATTTATTTTGATGTCTGTATGGAACTACAATATATTGTCAAAACAATTATTTGTAAGAGATCCTTTCTAACTTCTATATTTCTATATTTCCAAATAAATGAATGAACAAATCTTCTGCACGGAATTTTGTGTGTAACATCTCAAACTTATTGCAGTGGGGATTTATTGTAATGAGATGTTTTGCAATATATATATAAATATTCTGTGATTACTTTTTGTAAATGAACAATGAACACAATTTAGGTACAAAAAAAGGTTTATTGGTATATTTACAGTCAGGGTGTCAGTGATGTGATGGATGTGATGAGGAAAACACCAAAAGGCAGATCTCAAGAAATAAAAGGGAACTTGTTTTGTTCCTCTTCCCTCTGTGTGAGGACACAATCATTTTAGAAGCAAAAACAAATAATCAATGCACGTTTTGTGCTGTCCATTTCTTTTTCATCATAAATCTGTATCCACTCATTGTTTATTATTTGTACTTCCCAAAACAGCTTATTAATAAAAGCTCTAAACATGATTAACTAGTGCATTTTGCATAAAAAGAAACATAACAAAAACAACTGGATTCATCATTTACATGTATTCAAGTTTGTGCGTCCAGCAATGCAGCAGAGCCCGGACAAAACAATAACATGTGCAGAGACACACTAAACAAATTCTGGGCAAATATGCAAACTAACCGATACATGGAAACTTGACCATCCGTGTGTGCATTATGAACATGTATGAAATCCAACCCACAGGCCTGTGTCTACTCAGCGACCCCTCCACACATTTAACAACAAACAACAGATGTTTTCCATCAAAACTTGCATCACTGTCGATTGTTTTGATGAATTATTAGCTTCGACTACCAGTCTCAATCTCAAATGTTTAATCCAGCGGTAGCTTTGAGGGTTATGGTGTATTATTACATGTCAAATTGGTTACAGTGTTTGATAGATCTCAACACATATTGCCATTCCATTTTTTCACTATTTTCCCAACGTGGACATACCAGACTTGTTACAGTGAAAGTCATACTTGATATGGACTATATTATGGGTACATGCATTTTTTGGCGTTTAATTTCTCATTAGATTCTACTGACTTATTAGCTTTTTAACGTAGCTTCTCTGTGACTTCAGGATAATGAATGGGTAAAATCTTGGCTTCTTGATCAGTCACAGCAAGGTACGCCTATCTTTTAAGGAAACATATTATGCATTTTCAGATTTTCCCTTTCATCAACTTATTTTTTTGTGTATGTAAACAATGCGAAAAGCAATATTAACTGTATTTAAACCCAGGTCATGTAACTCTGAGTTATCTTCCACAAGAACGCCAAGAATGGGCTTTTCAGCTGCCATGATGTAACGCGTGTTGGTGCCAACGCACCACTGTATAAGTTTAACAAAGGTTTTGCTACGGTTTGTTCAGGCTGAATGTCGCCCTGGTAAAGTAAAAGTAGAGACCAACAAAGGAAGCCGTAGAGTAAGAGTGGAGGCTTGATCAGGAGAGGGGTCTTGTAGAGTCAGGAGCTAAAACCAAGTGTTTCAGACAGAGGCTGAAAAGAAGAGCTGCAGCAATGGACAGTATGAGGAAAGTGTTTCTGAACACTAGGGCGTGTAAACGTTTGTAAAATAATGAACCTGAATATGAGCATAATATGTCTCCTAAAGATATGAAATACTTTCAGGTATCTTTTAAGATATATTTTAACACCTAATTAAAGTAGGAGTTAATG